AGTTCTTGCTTAGTATGCATGAGGCCTAGGACTCAGTCCCCAGCAACACACAAAAATATGATATTAAAGGAAAGAGTGATTGTTTATTTCCTTGCCACAGTGATTTCTGAAGTCCATGTATAGCTCCCTGATGTTAGATGAAATGATATCTTATAATGTACCATGTATTTCTATCAAAAAATCCATTCATATTTTAGGTCATTTAAGTATATTTTTGCTTTATCAAAATGTTTATGGAAGAATCTCTCAGGGATTTTATTAGAATTATGCTAAAATTTTATTAAGAATGTTATTTTTTTAGTATAGGCATACAAATATTATTATCAGTCTTATTCTCATCCTCACTGTGTTTTAGCTCATCTCTCTGACTTAATTATTATAAATTGTTTTAAAAACATTGATTGCTCTTATTGGTCAGGTTCACATTGTAATTATGGCAAAGTCAAATAGTCACCTATAATGATTAATGGTCTTATGCAAGTGTATGTAGTTTAACATTTTAGAATTTTAGCTAAAGTCTCATGTGCCTGTTTGGCCATTGAAATAATGTAATAGTGCTCAATCAATTCAAACAACTAAATTAAAAATCCTGGAAAGATCTAGACCCAAGATAAGAGAATAGATAGAATTTAAGATGCATGAAAAAAAATCTGGAGGCTTTTTGTCTAGGTCAATGATATCTTTTCTTTTAAGGTTTATAGTTGTAGATGGACATACTACCTTTGTTTTACTTGTTTACTTTTATGTGGTGCTGAGGATTGAAACTGTTACCTCACATGTGCTAAGCAAGTTCAGTCCCACTGAGCTACAACCCCAGCCCTCATTTTATTTTCTTTTATAAGACTGAGTTTATTTGTATCTGAAGGGGCTCCATGACTTGTCCAAGGTTACCCAGCTAATTAGTGGAAAAGCTAGGATCAAAACTTTCTGACAATTCAGTGTTTGTTTTCCTCCTTTCCAGGTACTTAATAGCTGGTCTTCTTATAAAGTTCCATGTAACTGTAACTAGATAACAGAAGAGGAACAAAATATCTTCTATGAGGGTTTCTTAGAATTGTCAATGGGACTTGGCATCTTTCTGGGAAATAAATACAATTCCAATTAAGTATGCCAACTGAAAGATATGAAATTACAAGCAGGATGGAACTTGTTTAGATAACTATTAGAACAGCTCACAATGACAAGTGTCAGATAATTTTATTTCTCTTATCACAGCCTCTAGATTTGGAACATAGGGGAAATCTCCACTTTAAATCAGTTCTTATTGCATTCATGTTGCTTTCCTGGTCTAATTTTATTCCAAGAAAAATAATTACTCTACACTCTGGATTATAGCTTTTCTGAATAATATTCTGACACAGACAAGACAGACATAATTTTCAGTTACATCAGGTGATTATTTTTAAATAAAAAGAACATTGAAAATGAATGAGTTAGGTAAAATAATTTTTGAGAGCTCATAATATACTGTGTGTATTAGATGTAGAAATGAGGAATTGAATGAAACCAGTTAATATATTACTGTCTAATTAATGACTAGAAAGCTGTTTATAATTTATATTTGGAAAAAATACTCTGGCAAATTGAATTGACTATTATAGGTTTGTGCATACAATAGTAGTTTTCAAGAGGAAGACAGGTTTCATTCAGGCTCACATTAAAACAAACAGATAATTATGATAACTATTCACTGAGTTTAATTTCTCATAAGAACTATATTTTGAGTAAAATAACTTAATTTTAGATAAAAATAAGGATGTAAGAAAAATTAAAGTAGAAATAAACAAAATAATATTTTCTTTTTTTCAGTCTCTACTGCATTGACTGACATATTTGTCATCTACTTGAATTATTATTACAGATTTTACATTATTGATCAGGTTATGTTTATAATGAAACAAATACAAAAAGAAAGAGAAATTATAATTCAAATGGCAGGCTTGGATTTTTGTTTGCAAAGTTCATGGCTACATAACAAAAGTATTGTATGATATATATTATATATAATTATATATATATATATATATATATATATATATTCATTACCAAAATATGTGAATTTAAATGCTAAACAATTTTAAAAATTCGGAGTTTTCCATATTCCTTTTCTCAACATGAATTTTAGATAATTGTGGATCTTAATTAATGAAATTTTGTGTAATACTATCATTTGAAATAGACCAACAAATTAATTGTAAATACAATCCCATCAGGGAGATAATAAAGTTATATTAAAATTGACCTGAAAATCAGAAATTGTTCATTCTTAATATTGTTTTCAGATTAAGTTTCAATCTTTTGCCATTTTACTTATTTATGATATTTATATTTTAGAATATATATTTCCATTACTTGATAAATTTACATAATTTGCATAGATATTGCCTGTTTAAAGATATCTTTAGAATGGTCTCTTTGTCGTGAAGATAATATTGTGTTAGGATTGTGGAACACTGCCAGGCACGCATGCCTGTAATCCCAGCAACTCATGAGGCTGAGGCACAAGTTTGAAGCCAGGCTCAGCAATTTAGAGGGGCCCAAAGCAACTCAGTAAGACCCTGTCTCAAAATAAAAAATAAAAAGGACTGCAAATGTGCCTTAGTGATTAAGTACCCTGGGTTCAGTCATTAGTACTGTGCCCCTCCCCCCCAAAAAAGATCATGAAACACTTCAAACTAGTAAACTAGTTACCATCCTAGATTCAAAACTAGTTTTGGTTTGTTTTGATTTTCAGGTATGAATGCCTGTCACAAGCCAGTTCTAATACATGATTCTCCATTGTATCTAAATTTGCCAGCCTTTATTTTCATAGATCCTTGCAAGTCTTGGCCCCACCCTTGATCTTTTGTGTAAGGTCTTAATTTTCAGGACATCTTCAGGTGATTTATATGCACATAAAAGTTTATGAATTTCTGTTCTCAAAGAATGAATATATTGTTTAAATGCATTGTCTTAAGTGCCTGGTAAACACCAGGTTAAGGGCCATGTTTGTAATATGTGTGATTTCATGTAGTCCTCACCGCCTTTTATCATTCCACTTCCTACAATATAGAGATTTCTCAAAATGTTTTATTATGGAAAATACATATAGAAGAAGGAAAAGTAATTTTTTCTCTACCCTTCACAGTTCTTAACTAGGACAGACTCTTATAACGAAAGACAAGAAAAAACACAAAAGTTTATTAACATATATATTTCATATATATATATATATATATA